ATGGGACACTTTGAAGGCAGTGCCGAGAGGAAAGGTCATAGCACTAAGTGTCCACATAAAGAAACTAGGGAACAGTCACACTAGAGAACTAACAGCACAACTGGAAACTTTAGAACAAAAAGAAGCAAACACATCCAGGAGGAGTAGATGTCAGGAAATAATCAAATTGAAGACTGAAATCAATAAAGTAGAAACTAGGAAAACAATACAATGAATCAATTTAACAAAGATTTGGTTCTTCGAGAAAATCAACAAGATAGACAAACCTCTGTCCAAACTAAGAGGCAGAGAGAGAGAGAACATGCAAATCAACAAAATCAGGAATGAAAAGGGGGACATAACAACGGATATTGAGAAAATCCAGAGAATCTTCAGGTCATACTTTGAAAAGCTATACTCCACAAAATTCAAAAATTTAAAGGAAATGAACAATTTTCTGGATAGATATCACTTACCAAAATTAAATCAAAAGCAGATAAGCAATTTAAACAGACCTATAACCTCTAATGAAATTGAAGCAGTCATCAAAAGTCTCCCAACCAAAAAACGCCCAGGTCCAAATGACTTCAGTGCAGAATTCTACCAGAAATTTAAAGAAGAGCTCATTCCAATACTCCTCAAAGCGTTCCACACAATAGAAGCAAGAGGTTCATTGCCAAACTCTTTTTACGAAGCTACAATTACCTTGATACCCAAGGCACACAAAGACACAACTAAGAAAGAGAACTACAGACCAATCTCCCTAATGAACATTGATGCGAAAATACTCAATAAAATATTAGCAAACCGAATTCAAGCACTCATCAGAAAAATCATCCACCATGATCAAATAGGCTTCATATCAGGGATGAAGGTATGGTTCAACATACGAAAATCTATCAATGTAATTCACCATATAAACAAACTGCAAAAGAAAAACCATATGATCATCTCACTTGATACGGAAAAAGCCTTTGACAAAATCCAACATCCCTTCATGATAAAGGTCCTGGAGAGATCAAGGATAACAGGACCTGAACATAATAAAAGCAATATACAGTAAACCAACAGCTAACCTCAAACTAAATGGAGAGAAATTCAATGCAATTCCTCTAAAACCATGAACAAGACAAGGCTGTCCTCTCTCTCCATATCTCTTCAATATTGTACTTGAAGTTCTAGCTAGAGCAATAAAACAAGAAAAGAAGATCAAGGAGATACAAATTGGAAAGGAAGAGGTCAAACTTTCACTATTTGCAGATGATATGATAGTTTACATAAGTGACATGAAAAACTCTACAAGGGAACTCCTACAGCTGATAAACACCTGCAGCAAAGTGGCAGGATACAAGGTTAACTCAAAAAAATCAATAGCCCTATTATATACAGACGATAAATGGGCTGAGAAAGAAATCAGAGAAACCCTTTACAAAAGCCCCAACATAAAATATTTGGGGATAGCGCTAACCAAACAAGTGAAAGACCTGTACAGCAAGAACTTTGAGTCTTTAAAGAAAGAAATTAAAGAAGATACCAGAAAATGGAAAGATCTGCCATGCTCTTGGATTGGTAGGATTAACATAGTAAAAATGGCAATCTTGCCAAAAGCAATCTACAGATTCAATGCAATCCCTATCAAAATACCCGCACAATTCTTCACAGACCTTGAAAGAACAGTACTCAGCTTTATATGGAAAAACAAAAGACCCAGAATAGCCAAAACAACCCTGTACAGTAAAGGAATTTCCAGAAGCATCACAATCCTTGACTTCAAGCTCTATTATAGAGCTATAGTCCTGAAACAGCTTGGTATTGGCACAAAAATAGGTAGACCAATGGAATTGAATTGAAAACCCTGATACTAACCCACACACCTACAAACACTTGATTTTTGACAAAGAAGCTAAAATTATACACTGGAAAAAAACAGCATCTTCAACAAATGGGGCTGGCATAAGTGGATACTGACATGTAGAAGACTGTAGAGAGATCCATGTCTTTCGCCATGCACAAAACTTAAGTCCAAATGGATCAAAGACCTCAATATAAATCCAGCCACACTGAAACTCTTAGAGGAGAAAGTGGGAGGTACCCTTGAATGTAACACCCTGAACATAACACCAGTAGCACAGACACTGAGATCAATAATTAATAAATGGGACCTCCTGAAACTGAAAAGCTTCTGTAAGGCAAAGAACACAGTCAACAAGACAAAAAAGCAGTCCACACAATGGGAAAAGATATTCACTAACACCACATCTGGCAGAGGGCTAATCTCCAAAATTTAAAAAGAACTCAAGAAGCAAGTCTCCAAAACACCAAGGGATCCAATTAAAAAGTGGGGCACAGAACTAAATAGAGAATTCTCAATAGAGGAGTTTAAAATGGCTGAGAGACACTTGAGAAAGTGTTCAACATCCTTAGCCATCAGGGAAATGCAAATCAAAAGAATTCTGAGATACCATCTTACTCCTGTCAGAATGGTTAAATCAAAACTACCTATGACAATTTATGCAGGAGAGGATGTGGAGAGAGGGGAATACTCCTCCACTGCTGGTGGGAGTGCCAACTCATACAGTCACTTTGGAAATCAGTATGGAGATTCCTCAGAAAAATGGGAATCAGTCTACCACAAGATCCAGCAATTCCATTCTTAGGCATATACCCAAAAGATGCACATTCATACAACAAGGATGTCTGTTCCACTATGTTCATAGCAACATTATTTGTAATAGCCCGAACCTGGAAGCAACCTAGATGCCCATCAGCTGAAGAGTGGATAGAGAAAATGTAGTACATTTACATACACACTGGAGTACTACTCAGTGGGGAAAAAAAAACAATGGAATCTTGAAATTTGCTGGCAAATGGATGGCACTAAAAGAAACCACCCTGAGTGAGGTAACCCGAGCACAAAAAGACAAGCATGGTATGTACTTACTCATATATGGATTTTAGGCCTGAAACAGGGGAGTGCCAGCCTACAATCTCCAGCTAGAGAGTCTGGGAAACAGGGAGGACCCTAAGAGAGAAATGCATGGTAACCCAGAGAGGGGAACAGGACTGAATCATCTGAGGGGATTGGGAGCATGAGGGGGGCGTGAGGAAGCTGAGAGAAAGAGAGGGGCTAAAGAGGAGGGGAGAGGAAGACATGGGGGAGCAGGATAGTTGAGTAGGGGGAAGAATAGTGGAGAGAAGGATGAGAGATACCTTAATAGAAGGAGCCATTACAGGTTTGAAGAGAGATCTGGTACTAGTGAGATGTCCTGAGGCCTACAAGAATGACACCAGCTGGCAATCTAACCAATAGTGGAGAGGCTACCTTAAATGCCCTTCCCTGATAACGTGATTGACGACTTCCTCGTATGCCAGCCTAGAGCCTTCGTCCAGTGGCTGAAGGAAGCAGAGGCAGACACCCACAGCTGGACACTGAACTGAACTCCTGGAACCCAGTTGCAGACAGGGAGGAGTGATGAGCAAAGGGGTTATGACTTGGCGGGTGAAATCCACAGAATCAGCTGACCTGAACAAGGGGGAGCTCATAGACTCCAGACTGACAGCTGAGAGGCCAGCATGGGGCTGATCCAGAGCCTGTGAACGTGGGTGTCAGTGAGGAGGCCTCATCATCCTTTGGGGCCTCAGGCAATATATCAGCATTTAGCCCTGTCATCCAGATGGACTTTGGGAGCCCATTCCACATGGAGGGATGCCGTCTCTGCCTGGATACATGGGGGAGGGCCTAGGCCCTGCCCCAGATCATATGACAGACTTTCGAGATCCCCTCCTTGGAGAGTGGAGTGGGGATTGGAGGAGAGGTTGGGGAGGGTTGAAGGGGGTGAAAGAGGAGGGAAGGGAGAGGGAGTTGACATGTGAAGCAAACTTGTTTCTAATTTAAATTAAATTAAAAATTTTTAATAAAAGCCTGACACAGGCCAGGCAGTGGTGGCTCATGTATTTAATCCCAGCACTTGGGAGGCAGAGGCAGGAGGATCTCTGTGAGTTCACGACCAGCCTGTTCTATAAGATCTAGTTCCAGAGAAACCCTGTCTCAAAAAAAATTGACTTAAATTTTAAGAATCCCAGCACAGAGTGGGGAGGGGTTTCTGAGGCCCAATTCTAGCAGAGGGTCTGTTAGCAGTTGATGATATCTGTGGGAGAGCCACTTTTCTTTAGGAGTGTGGCCACTGGTCACTTCCCCAGATAACGTGCATATGGGCCATACTCATTCGATAAATAAACAAGGACGGAGAATATGAAGTTGGGAGAGAAATATGATGGGGGGGTCCTGAAGGGAATTAAGGGTGTATGTGAAGGGTGAGTGTGATCAAGATCATTGTGTAGATATGTGAAGATTTCAACGACTCAATAAAAATGTTTTTTTTAAATTGTAGAACTTTAGGGTGGTTCTGTAGTTAAGCGTGCTTGCTACAAGGGGCTGGAGAGATGACTCAGAGGTTAAGAACAATGGCTGCTCTTCCAGAGGTCCTGACTTCAATTCCCAGCAACCACATGGTGGCTCATACCCATCTATAATGAGATCTGGTGCCCTCTTCTGGCCTGCAGGCATACATGCAGACAGAACACTGTATGTGTGTGTGTGGGAGGGGTGCTTGCTTCTCTTCCAGAGGACTCAAGTTTGGTTCCCAAAGACCCACATTGGGAGATCACAACTGCCTGTAACTCTAGCTTCTAACACCCTCTTCTGACTCTGTGGACTTGGCCGATGAGATGGTGACGTGCTGGTTCTGGGTGATGCGACAGTGTTTTTAGTGCATATTGTTACAGAACGAAACTGGGAAATTCTGGGATGCAGTGAATGCTTTTCGCCCCCGGAAGAAGCATGAGTCTGTGAAAGCCGGAAAACAGGACCTGAGGATAAAACTTCTCTAGTGCGTACTGCCTCTGGTGGACCTAGGTTTTCAATGACCTTGCTCAGCTCCCGCGAGGTCGCAGGGGGCCACACATGCTCCCTAGAGTCGGTTTGCCAGCTTCAGCGGTTGTCTGCACGTGCTTCCGGTCCTGACTGGAACCCAGAGGCAGGGCGGCCAGATGCGGGGCACCAGGGCCCAGCAATCGGGCCAGGGTGGGTACGGAGCCTGCCTGCTGGCTGCTCTGCTCTGGCTCAGCCTCTTGCCCCAGCATGCTCAGGCCGCTGACCCTGCCAACACCACCAGCACTATAAATAAAACGACCACGAGGACTACTCTACCCCTGTCTGAGAGTAAGGAGGCAGGGGCAATAGTGACCCCCAAAGTAGGAGGCAGCTCTCCAGTGCGTGTGTCCCTCTCCTCCCCTCCCTTGGGAACATAGGTGGTTGAAAGGGCCTGCAGGCCTTAAATTGAAAAAGAGGGCCTTGAGACTGGGGATCTTTACATGAAGGTGCTCTCCTCTGCTGGCTATTGCCCACTGATCTCAAGTCTCCTCAGTTCAGGGTCAAGGTTGTCTTATGGTTCTACCATAGTCTACATTGGGTTATGGTGGGAGGGCTTAAGATGACCGTGAACCTGAAAAATAATGGCTTCTGCCAGCTTTGACTTCTGTTTCGGTTTCTTCCTCTTCAGTACCGAGCTCCTTAAGTTAATGGGGACTGAGGAGAGCCCGGCAGCATCCTCCCCTTTGCCTGCACCTCTGTTCTGTGGGCCTTGCTGAGAGAAAGCCTTGGGCTATTCCAACCCTCTCCCTGCTCTTTGTCACATGAGCTATTCCACTCTTGACCTTGGCTAAGCCCGCCTGAAAAGGGAGAAGAGAGGCCATTGCGTCCCCCGGGTCCTGCTGATGCTGACATTTGGGGCACCAAGCACGTGCATCCTGAATGCAGGTGCCTCGCGGCTGGGATTGTCTCCACAGTATGTGGCAGGACCAAATTCCAAGGGAAGATCTTTGGCGGTCAGATGGCTGCGCCTGAGCGGTGGCCGTGGCAGGTCAGTCTGCGTTTATATGGCAGACATATCTGTGGAGCAGTTCTCATCGACAAAAACTGGATAGCCGGTGCTGCCCACTGCTTCCAAAGGTGCGTGCTCCGCCCCCCGCCCCCCCCCCCGCCCCCGGGGCCCTTCTGCTGGGAAGGAGAGAGTCACTAGGAGGGAAGGAAGAGAGGCGAAGGGTACATAGCAGCCATTTCCTTGTGGGCTGTGTTCTGGGATAGCTTGCTGCCAGCGAGAGTCCTCTGTGCTGTTGCCCTGCCCTGGACTGGTGCCTTGCACCCAGATTGTCATCCCTGCTTATCACCAGACTCTCATCTCCTACCCGTCTGACTCTCCTATTACAAAGGTCTCATATTTCGTCTCTCACCCTGGCACTGTCCTCTCCCCCTCCCTGAGACTCAACTAACTAGTGTGGTTGTCACAGTGATATGCACCTTGCTTTTAAACAGCTAGCTGAAATTACTTGTCTCGGGTGTGAGTAAATTAGTGCTGGAAATCGAGTTTTAGCTCTGAAGTGGTCACTTCCGATCTTCTCTTTTCTCTTCCATGAACATCAGGGATCAAAAACTTTGTTCCCTTCAGTATCTGACACTTGTTCACCTCTAGACAGTCTTTGCAGATGGCAGCAGGCCTGTTTCTCCTGGAAACCATTGGTAGGGTGTTCTTAACTAGCTAGACACACAGCACAGGCTCAGTGCTTAGTGAAAGCGTCAATCCCAGGCCCCTATCCCCAAGACTGGACACAGTCGGGACCTCTGTAAACAAGCATCTGCATCCTCTGTCCAGGGCTCTCTGCAGGCGCTCTATCCAGGACATGTCTATTGGAAGTTCATTTGGGTTCAGGCCAGTCTTACACTGGAGCATAGTCCTCTCTATAGGCATCCTGGTACCGTGTGTGTGTGTGTGTGTGTGTGTGTGTGTGTGTGTGTGTGTGTGTGTGTGTGTGTGTTCCTCCTGTAGTGGGAAATGTCACTATTCCTACAGCTGGAGTGAATTAGTAGAGTCAAGTAGATGCATCTTGGGTTCACTGCATGGGCAAAGGAAGCAAGGAGGACAAATGACTGCACATGGGTTCCATTTACATATCCATCTTCCATGAGTGACAGACCTGATGTGGAGGGTCGTGTGGAGGATGTGTGAGACCCACCCATCAGGAAAGTGGGGCAAAGGCAACCCCCATTGTGGTAGATCATGAAGGTATGTCAAGGAAATGCAATGAGTCATACAGCTAGAGGAGCCCTTAAGGAAGGAGATTGAGGAATTCTAGTGGACATGTAAGAGAGCCATAATAGTGAACTGTACACTAGAATATAATGTGTGTTCCAGAAATAGTAAGTTTTCATTTATTCTTCTATTTTCTCCACAAAATCTTCTTGAGTGCCCATGGTTAGATAGGAATACAATCTTAAGAAAAGACAATGTGTAAGGGTTGGGGTATGGGTCATGCCAGACAGGAGAGAGATCTGGGCAGGGCTCAGTATGTCTTTGCTTGTACAAGATGAAGAGGTACAGGTTGATTTACTTCTGATTGTTCTACACAGTCATGAGACTGACAGCCCCATGAATTCTGAGATATCAGAAACCTTCAAATTAATGCTTAGGCTGTGTGTGGTCATAGTGTCCCTCAAGAGAAAAAGAACAAAAACAAAAACAGTATTACGAAAGGAGGAGACGCCTGAAATAAGGAACAGACAAGGTCTGGCTGCCTGTAGGGTGGGTAATCAGGGAGGCACTGTTCAGCCAACACTTACAGATGCTCCCCCTGCAATAGGTCTCACAACCCAAATGACTACCAGGTCAGGCTAGGCTACACCAAGATGAGCAGTCCCACCAAGTACAGCAGGGAGCTGTCAGTGTACAAGCTCATCGTTCACAAAGACTACGACAAATTCCACCGCCAGGGAAGTGACATTGTCCTGATGCAGCTGGAATCGCCTGTGGAGTTCAGTTCCCACATCCTCCCAGCCTGTGTCCCAGATAAAAACACAAAAATCCCTAAAAAAAAGGCCTGCTGGGCAAGTGGCTGGGGGAATCTCAGAGAGGATGGTGAGTACACAGGGCAGGCGAAGAGGGGGAGGGGCAAGACACTGTGGAGACCTTTCCTGTGGTTGGGAAGCTCAGTTCCCGGTTCAAATGCAAGTCTCTATCTTTCAGAACACAGGTGTGGGCTCTCTGACTCCAGAGCTCTCAGCATGCTTGACCCTGGGTACTGCAGGGCACTCAGCAAACAGTGGTTGCTCTGCCCTGGCCAGGAAAGACACAGGGTGTCCTTGAGAAGATGAGAGCGACCTGGCACGGGGCAGGTTGGGTGTGTAACTAGGGACCATTCACCTCTGAGAACTCCACTGCCAACCCTTAAGGGGAAACTACCTGGTCCACCAGCTTGTGCAACCTGTATACATGTGGATCCAGTCACCTGTGGACCAAAAGCCTGAGTGTTGGGAGTGACGTTCTCCTTGTCCTGATTCCTTAAACAACACAGCATTGTGACTATCTGTATCACATTTGCCTTGTGTCAGCTATTGTGTCATCTAGAGATGATCTCAGGTGTGCAGGGAGACATGCACAGGTTCTCCTATGCAGAGGGAATTCGGTGTCTTTGGACTCTGGCATCCTGGGCCACAGGAAGAGCCTGCTGACAGCAAGGGACAGCTGTAGATGTTTAGATTGGGAGTAGAATTCCTTGGCAAGGATTTGACACGAGATGCTTTTGGTTTAGGACAACATAATGGCAAGTTAAATAAAGCAAATAAAAAGTTGGTGTGAAATTTAGGTTCACAGTCTGGCAAAGCAGCCCTGAGGAGGCTTACAGGCAGATGTTTCCCTGAGGTCAGAGTTAGGGTCCCCATCCCTGCTCCTAGTCGCTAAGTGTCAGTCCCACAGGCTGGTCACCAGAACACCAGCATTGGAAGGGATGGACTTTCACTCTCTAAGAGCCTATGTCAGGGCAGGTAGAGTCTTCAGGTCCGGCCAGGCGATGAGAGTGGGGCACAGAGGGAAGGTGTGGCTGGGGCAGCTCTCAGAGCAGAGGACCTGGCCTCCCTAAGAGACTGGACCTTCAGCCATCTTCTGCCATGCCCTCATGGTTGCGGGGCCTGGGGCCAGGCTCCGGTTTGCTGCACATAGGCAGTCCCTGACCAGCCTTGTGGGATGTGCACTGTGGCCCCCGCATGAAGCGAGCCATGCTGTTGTCAGTCTGCTCCCAGGAGATGACCCCGCCTGGATCTGGGAGAGCCCTTGCAAACAGACCAGCTGACCCTTGTGATTGGTCAATGTTGCCAGGCTCGCCAACATTTCTGGGGAGCTGTGTCACTGCTGCATTCAGGCTCCAGAGTCCCTGCATGCAGTTTGGTCCCCACAGGGCAGCCAGAGCTGTTTGACAGCTGGCTTGCCCCTTCCTTGGCTTCTCTGACCTCAGGGTAGTTTCAGTCCCCTAGACTGGTGAGGCGGCTCTGTCTGAGGTCCCCACACTGGGACCTGTGCAGTCATTCCCAGCCTGCCCCTGCCTTCCACGGCCCTCTGCTTGCTCTTGAATGCCATTTCCCCTGGTCACTGCATGCCCGTCGTGAGCCCTTCCCTGCCACTGTGGCCTAGAGTGGCTGCCCCCGCCCCACTGCCAGCAATATCCCTGGAAGGGGAGTGTCACCCTCACTCAGCTGACCGTCACATCTAACCCTCCCTCCCACAGTGCGCCAACCTTTACCTGACGACCTCTATGAAGCAGAGCTCATCCTTATGGACAATGAAGAGTGTAAAATGTTTTTCCCAAGACCATCACCTGGTGACACTAAGAGCTACTACATTTATGATGATATGGTGTGCGCTGCTGACTACTCAATGACAAAATCTATATGTGCAGTAAGTGAAACCTGCTCAGATGCGTGGTCATGTGTGGCCACCCTTGTACCTTTGTCTTGTTTCAGCCCCTTCCTTCTGTGTATTCTCTGGACCTTGTCTCAACCATCTGGTTGCGTCTTTCAAGCACACTGTTGAAGAACAGCCCACTAAGAAATGGGCATCGCTTGTACCGCCTTTGGGATCTTTAGAAATGAATCCAATGGGCCCATGAGAAGGTCAAGCGGATCGAGGTACTTGCCACCAAGCCCGGTAGCCTGAGTTTGATCTGCCATGCAGTCTACTTGGTAGAAGGAGAGAACCAATTCCCACAAGTTGGCCTCTAAGTTTCACATCCATGCACACACGTGCTCACACCCTCACATGTGTACACACACACACATACAATGAATGAATAACATTTAATTGAAAAATAAGAAGCTGATACACCGATGTAAACAGCACCCAAAGGGCTCTCCTCATGCCCTTCCCTTTCCCTCACTCCCAGAATTGTCCTGTCTTAGCTTTAGAAGCACTATGGCTTCGTGCTGCAACACTACCTAAGCATGCATCAGGCAGGATGCAGGCTTTTTAGTCAACAGCCCTGCCACTGTATGGATGCACTATACTCTTCCTTGCTTGTTTTTATCCTAGTGGCATTTTTGGCAGTTTCTGTTCTTTGCAATGGCATTGCCATGAACATGCTTGATGGGTCATCATGCTAGTAGTAGAATCACCATGTCGCAAGACACACATGTGTTCTTGTCTTACACACACTCCAGGCAGCTCTTCAATATGGTTGTACTGATTTTGTATTCCCACCATGGAGAGTTCAGGTTGTTGCACAATGTACCAGTTTTTTTTAGATTACCTACCCATTTCATTTTAACCTTTACATGTGATCTTTTTTCATTCTTTTTCCTTTTGTTGTTGTTGTTGTTTTGGTTTGTTTCCCAAGAAAGGATTTTTCCATGTATCCCTGGCTTACCTGGATCTCGCTCTATAGACCAGGCTGGCCTCAAACTCACAAAAATCCATCTGCCCCTGCCTCCCAAATGCTGGGATTAAAGGTGTGTGCCACCACTGCCCAGCAGTATGTAATTTTTTTCTTTTGCATTTTTCTGATGGCTAATGAAGATGGATATTTTTTCATTTGTTTTTTTCCATTAAGTATAGTCTCAGGGATGTGAGGTTGCTTTGTCACCAGTGGTCATGTGTGTGTGTCTTTCTCAATGATTCATAGGAACGCTTATATTTGGGGGCTTGAGCTCATAACTATTTTGTGTGCAGTCAAAACTGTTGGCATTTTATGGTGAGGGGTCTGAAGCCAGGAAGGAAATGGATAGCTAGAAGTGCCTCCTGTGACTCCTGTTTGCCCTTGTCTCTCTCTTTCTCTTCCCTTGGCTGTCCTCTGGGCCCAGAAGTATACGACTTTGTGTCTTATGTGCACCCTCCCTGCTCCTCGAGAATGCCAGATAATTCTCAAGACCTCCTTCCCACCCATGCTCACCCTGCAGTGTCAGCATGTGTCCTTAACGGTCCTAGCCCTCAGTTAGCACAGTCCAGATGTTCCTTTGTTCCTTTGTTCCCACAATCTATCTTCCCATTCTTGCCTTGAATTTTTGTTGTTGTTGCTGATTTTGTTTGTTTCACATCTATTTATCTAGTCACCTGTTACCTATCTGTCTTATTATCTATCATCTATCTATTGATTGATCTACCATCTATTCATCTGTCTATCATCTGTCTGCCAATATCATATGTCAGTCTATCATCTGTTTGTCTAGAAATGATCTTACCATGTAGCTCAGGTTGGTCTTGTACTTGTACTTGCAATCCTTGTGCTTCTGACTCTGGAGTACCAGGATCGCATGTATATAGTTCCCAGATTGCTCTGCATTTAAAAGTAATCAATTGAGCCAGGCGTTGGTGGTGCATGCCTTTAATCCCAGCACTCAGGAGGCAGAGGCAGGTGGATCTCTGAGTTCCAGACCAGCCTGGTCTACAGAGTGAGTCCCAGGACAGCCAAGTGTTACACAGAGAAACCCTGTCTCGAAAAACAAAATAATAATAATACTAACAAGAATAATCAATTAAGTTATTCTTCACCACCTCTGTATGTATATGTGTGTTTGTGAGTGCCTGAGTTCATACACACAAGTGAGGGTCAGAGGGCAACTTATGGTAGTTGTTTCTCTCCACAACGTGGTTTCTGGAGATGGAACTCATCTCACATGCTTTTTATTTACAATAGAAAGAAAGGGTCAGTCCTGTGTGCTGAGTGGTTCCACCCACTGACTGCCTTCTCTTTTGCTATAACCTGCCCAGACCTGGCCTGCTGCCCTGTCTCAGAAGCTCCAGAACTTTCACCGGGGCCCCTTGCTTCCCTGCTGAACAACTGTCTCTGGCCGCAGCTTACCACCGCCAAGCCTCAGTGATTCCGTGCAGCCTTGGCTCTGAGAAGGCCTCTTAGGGCCTGGCTTGTGCATCCCTCTGAGGGTCCTTCTGCCATCTGTGCAGCTCTTTATCCCCACGGAGCGTCTTCTCGTGTGTTCCCACAATCCTCTCTGTCCCCTGAACATCCCATGACATGTGCTTCAGGGGACCGTGTTGCTTTGCTTCCTACGTTTTGGTCTGAGATAGGAGTATTTCTACCCATTACCCCGGTGCTCTTCCTGTCCCAAGGCCCTGCTGTGCCTGGAGCCCCTGCCTCTCTTGTGGAGCCTAGGAACCCCTGTGGTTCTATCCTGGCTGTGTTGCTCTGCCAGCTCGGCACAGCCTACAGCATGCCGTCTTCTGAAGGAGCTCAGCTAAGGACCTGAAGAGCCACCAGGAATGTTATTAAGCAAAAGCAAGGGTACATGTAGGATGCCGTGCTGGGACAAGGGATTCAACCAAAGATTACAGTCCATGCCTCCAGGCCATTTAGCTCATCACTGACTGTCCACCTTGGGGTCTCTGTTGCTGTGAAGAGACACCATGACCACAGGAACTCTTATAAAGGAAAACATGTAATTGGGGGCTGGCTTACAGTTCAGAGGTGCAGTCAATTATCATCAGGGTGGGCCATAGCAGCGTGCAGGCAGACATGGTGCTGGAGAAGTAGCTGAGAGTCCTACATCTATCTGGCAGGCAAAAAGTGCACTGTCTCACTGGGTGGTCTCTTGAGCATGTGTGAGACCTCAATGCCTGCCTCCACAGTGACACACTTTCTCTCCAGCAAGGCCACACCTACACCAACAAGGCCACACCTCCTAATAGAGCCTAATAGAGCCACTCTCTTTGGGGGCCATTTTCTTTCAGACCACCACACTGACCATTTGGGACTTCAGAGACTGTAACTTGTGGTCTTCCAGCCTGCCGAGCTGTCTGAGCCCCCAAATAATACACAGGACGCTATATTAATTATTAAGCTGAGCCGGGCGTTGGTGGCGCACGCCTTTAATCCCAGCACTCGGGAGGCAGAGGCAGGCGGATCTCTGTGAGTCTGAGGCCAGGCTGGACCGACAGCCTCTAAAACAATACAGAGAAACCCTGTCCCGTAAAACCAAAAAAAAAAAATTTAATTATTAAGCTGCTGGATGTCTGCTTTGTTTCTTACTAGCTAGCTCTGACTTCGTTGTTAACCCATAATTGCTAATAGTATTTCCATGTGGTCTTCACTTACCGGAGAACAGGGTCTGGACTTCTTACTCCTCTGGCTTTCTACATCAGGACTGTCTGTGCCTCCCTTTCCCAGAATCCTGTTCACCACCTAGTCCCACCTATCTTGCTTCCCTATTGGCCAACAGTGCTTTGTTCAGCAACCAATAAGATAAGCACATACACAGGACTTCCCCCATCAAGAGTCATCTCTCATATAGACAGCAGGGCAGAGAGTAGACATTAGGCTCCTAGACTCTCCACCAAATGGTACACAGGGGCTCCATGGTAACTTTGGGAAATGGAGCTTCATGAAGATACTGACCCAAGAGGGCTCCTGTGCTTGCATTTTTAAAATTGCTCCTATGGTCCTGATGAGTACTGCTCAGGCAGCAGAGACAGCTGGTCACTGTGTGTCCCTCCCTGTATTAACCCCACTGTCTGTGTTCTCTCTCTCCTCAGGGAGATTCTGGGGGCCCCTTCGTCTGCTTTCTGGATGGCTCCTGGTACGTGGTGGGGCTGACCAGCTGGAGCTCGTCATGTGAAAACCCGATCGTCAGCCCCAGTGTCTTCGCCAGGGTCTCCTACTTTGACAACTGGATTAAAGAACACAAGCAAGCATCACCTGATCCAAAGCCCAAGGAGCCTGACAGCCCCCCTGACCATCCAAGACCACCTTATAAGCCAAAACCCCCTCTTGGTGGGTATGAATGGGACAGTAACAAAGACCAAGGCACCGTCATCAAGCCGGTGGTCTGCATGGCCATGCTGTCTTCTCTGGTCCTCCTCCTGCAGCTGATTTTGTTGAGGAACCTCTGAAGGAACCACGGGGCCTTGGACGGCCAGCATAGCCTGTAAGTCCACTGAGTATTGTCCCCCACGATTCCATCCGCAGGCTCATCTGTCCATCTGAGGCCACACACTTGCCCTAGGTCAGACCAAACTTAAAAAGAAGAAGAAGAAATAAAAGCAAAAAACAAAAGAGACTTCTGATGTGTTCTGTCTGCTCCTGCAAAGTTTCTAGCTGCTCAGTCTCAGAAGGCCACCTACTCCCCAGGCAGGGACAGTGATTGAGACAGCCAGGGAGCTGGCCTACCAGTATAGGAGCTGACTCTCTCCCAGCTGGCTTCCAGAGACTGTAGTCCACCCCCGCCCCCTGAGGCTGTGTGTTCTTTCAGAAGAATGAGCCACTGGATTGGGCCAAGTCCTCCTCTGTGGCTGCAGCTTGTGTTCCTGGAGCAAGCCCCCATTTAGGGATGGGGACCTCTTGCAAGCCAAAGGTCACAAAAGTGCTTCTGAGAGTTTGACAATGAGCTGTGAGGGTCTCAGAGGTCTGACACGTCTAAGCTCTTCTGCAAGGGACAGCAATCACCCTAATATTATACCTCCATACCCCAAACCCCACCCCTTGTCTGACACGCCCAGCCCACGGTCCTTGTGTCCTTGCTTCAGCCTGCACTGGCTGAGGCCTGGCAGACCTGGCAATGACGAGTTAGCGGTGAGCTTCCTTACAGACCTATCTGTGTCACCAAAACTCCTATTCAGCCTGTGTGGGAGTTCACTGGGGCTCCACACTGCAGTCTCCCCCTTCCACATGAACTGTAGATAGGGAGCCCCTGGATTCTCTGGGGACCAATGATGCCCTGTCAGAAATCCAGGTTATTTGATGAAGTTACAGAAGAGGCTATAAGTGGTATATGTGGGAAAGTCCTGTGGTGAACACACAGCCAGCAATCCCCAAAGCAGCCATGTTGGGTGACGTTTAGGAGCTGGTAGGCTGAGGTCAAAGTCTGAAGCAGGAGACAAAGCAAGAGTTCTGCGTTATTTCTGAGATGGAACATTAGAGAGGGTATGGCCTTGGAGGAGTGTTGAATCACCTCTTCTGTCTCTCCTGTCTCCAGGGGTTGAGTACTTCAATTTTTTACAAAATGCAGAAACTTTTTCAGTGTTTTGTCTTCCTCAAATAGTGTCATTGCATGCAGCCTGGACAAATCTTTACTGACCATACATGAGTCCCTGTGACATAAGCAGAGATGCACTCGGGGCCAGGTATCTGGGCCTGGTTCTGGAAAGAGCCATTTGCTGATAGCTAGACAGAGTTCTGGGTCTTGGTGAGTGGGAGGTAGAAGAACCAGGAACACGAGTCCACCAGCCTGGCTTGTGGGGAGAGCTTCCTGGGCGCTTGATGGGTTTGGTCGAAGGCGCTGAAACCTCCACAGTGCAAGCCTTTGACACTGAAACTGAGCTGCCTCCATCCCACCATGCATCCGCAAACAGACACATCCAGCAGTCGAAGAATTAAGGGAGCAACTCTAAAGTCAGATGGCCCAAATGGGAATAACAAAATCAAAGATAATCCCTGTGAAATAAACAATGAGAAACTAAAATGATTCTCAGTGTAAGTACCCAAAAATGAGCTGGGCAGTGGTGGCACACACCTTTAATCCCAGCTCTCAGGAGGCACAGGAAGGCAGATCTCTGAGGTCGAGGCCAGTCTGGTCTACAAAGTGAGTTCCAGAACAGTCAAGTGTTACACAGAGAAACCCTGTCTTGAAAAACAAAAACAAAACAAAGAAACACTATAAATAAAAAGTAAATGAAATCAAAGTAATAAAAGAGATAATTTAAAATGTGCATAGTTGAATAAAACTTTATTTTAATTAAATTGATTTATTTGTGTTAGAGCAATGCAATAGCACCCACTTGGAGGTCAGGAAGACATTCCCTGGACCCGGTCTTCTCCTTCCACTCTGGGGGTCCTAGGGAGCAAACTCAGGCCTCCAGACTGGACAGCCAGCACCTTTACCCACGGAGCCATCTCAGCAGCTCAGGTAACGTTACAACCAGCTGAACGTGAACACGTAAGTTACTTGCAGGGCATGACTATAGACTGTAGAAGGTGGTAGTTGTGCTCTCTGAACTGATTTACAGTTCTCACTCTACTGAGAAACAGACTCAACCCCAGCACAGTCTCAGCCCTGGCTGTGAGGGATGAGGACCCCATGGAGAGAGAAAGGCAGGGCCAGATGTCCCAGGAGCAAGGCCATGATCTCTGGCCTTTCACAGCCACACCAGCACAGAGCCAGGTCAGGCTGGGAGGGCTATTCAAACCATGTGCTTCCTACAAACTCAAGAAGACCAATTTCTCTCCGCTCTCTTCATTCTTTTTCTCTTCTTATCTATGCGTTTATTTTATTCTTTTCACAGTTTCATACATCCATGTAATAAATGTAATCTTTCTCATCCCCATCCCCCTCTTTTAGCCCCACTCTAGTTCCCTGAAGTTTCCTTTTCCTAACAAGACGCCTTCCTCTTTTCAGGGTTTCCATAGGTGAGTGACAGGGAGTTTAATAAGGTGCTCGCATGCCTGTGGGTGGGGCTTATTTCTTGGAGCATGGAAGGCTTGCCTTGACTCAGGAAGGCTCTTATTTCCTGGGAAGTCTTTCTTGGTGTTGTTTCTGGACACCTGGTGTACCATGTATAAAGGAAATACTTTGTATTCTCAAATTATCCAAGCACTGAAGGGGCCAGGCCACCCCCTACCCACTCCCACCCACCCTCTACCCCCCACCAGCCCCCACAAACCCCCGATTTTAACAGCCATGACAGGCTAACATGGGCTCGCCTGACCTTGCCTCTCCTGTCCTGGTCACTAGGAGGTCAGATACCCTCCTCCTGGCAAGGCACTAATCAGAAGTTAGCTGGCTGGACTGTGCTTTATGACTCTGGGAGTGCTTTATGGACAAATGCACAACTGATGTGCAGAGCATAGCAACCACACAGAGAGGGCCTATGGGCCAAACGACCAGTGGACCAATCAACACAGGGCAGGTCGTCCAAGTCTGGAAGTGCACCAATCCTGAGACTGCTGCATACCCCTAGACACTCCCTATAAGTTTCCTGCCTCCTGATTTCTTGGGGTTTTTCTCAGCCATCCGCTGAGGTGGAGGATTGAAAGGCCTGAGCTAATGGGGTTACCTTGTTAAACAATTGCATCGAATGGGCCTCTTGGTGATTGTGGGGTTCAGAATTTGGGCACAACAGCACCACAGAAGCCGGGGCTGATGTGTAACAGTTCTTGCACGAGATTTTGCGTCCTCTTCAGAGCTGAACTTCTAAGGGTTTCCCAGTTAGGCAGTAGATAACAAGCAGGTACATGGATGGATGGATGGGTGGACAGGACTTTGGTTTTCTTTCTTAAAATCACAGACTGTGGAGTGAGGTACGGCTGAGAAGCAGAGTGTTTACTTAGCAGGGAGGCTCTGGGTTCTGCCCCAGAGTTGAGAACACACACACACTTCCAGTGGGAAAAGGATGGTTACAGTAGTGTGTGTGTGTGTGTGTGTGTGTGTGTGTGTGTGATTCTACTGGAGAGACTCATACTTCTGTTTTCTAGTTCAAGGTAAGAGCTTTAAACCTAATTACTCACACTAATGAGGAGTGACTTTCTGTCACATTTGTAGCCACTGCCTCTGATGTAAAATTAGCTTAGCCCAGTTTCTGAATGAAGCTGTTAAAATTGAGACGGTGTGCCTTTTCATCTCCTAATGCACTTTTGTCATTTTAGCATGCTTTCAACTTGTGTCCGTGCATAGAAACCTTGTAAATATGAACTTTCACATAGTAGAAAGGTATTCACAATGGTTCTTAATATAAATTAGCAGGTGTCCCTTCTTTATTTCTGATGCTATAATAAGCATCACAGCCAAAACCATTTGGGGAGGAAAGGGTTTATTTGGCTTACATTTCCCAATCATAGTCCACCACTGAGGGAAGTCAAGGCAGCTACTCAAGAATGGGCAGAAGCAGGATCCTAGGAGGAAGACGCTGGTTGGCTTTCTGTCTCTGTCTCATGTACGGTTAGCTTTCTTACATAGCCCAGACTCACCTGCCCAGAGCTGGCTTCACCACCGGCAGATGGATGCTCTTACATCAATTAGCAATCAAGAAAGCACCTGACAAACATGCCACAGGCCAACTGAAGGAGACAGTTCCTCAGCTGAGGGTCCCTCCTCCTAAGGTGTCAAGTTGACAGCAAAGGTGAATGATCACAACTCCACTCATTAACTTGACACATAAACTTATCACTGTCAAACCCGAACCTTTCCTTTCTTGTTTGTCCCCAAGATCTCAGGTCAATATAATAATATTATATTAACAGCGGATAGTGGGCAGTGGGAATTGAACCCTAGTCCTCTGGAAGAACAGTCAGTACTCTTAACCGCTGAGCCATCTCATCAACTCTAGCCTAGGATCTCTTTAAAATATCTAGAGACCCAAGGCATGGTAGTGCATACATTTCATCCCAGCACTTGGGAGGCAGAGGCAGATCTCTGTGAGTTCAATGCCTGCCATGGATACACAGTAAGATCCTGTTTTTAAAAATCATAATAATAATATGTTTAAAATATCCAATGCCTCTCAACTGTGGGCTGCTGTGTAGTTGATTGTTTTTACACAGATCCCAAATAATTACACAGATATTTATTATTACTAGTACATTCCCAGTCTTAGCTTGGCTTATTTCTAGCCACATTTTCTTACCTTAAATTATCCATCTACCTTTTTCCTCTGGGCTTTTACCTGTCTCTATTTTTGTATGTCTTTTCTTTTGTTCTTACTCCGTATGTGACTGAGTGGCTGGGTGGCTGGTCATGGTGTCCTCTTCCCCTTCTTCTCTCAGTCCTCCTCTTCTCTTTTCCTCCCTCTATTTATTCTCTCAGCCTGCCAGCCCTGCCTGTCCCTCTCCTGCCTAACTGTGGGTCGTTCAGCTCTTTATTAGACCAATCAGGTGTTATAGACAGTGTCATATCTGTGAGTATAGCAATAGGTCATTATGAGCTGTATCTTTATGGTTTTATTGCTATGTCATCTAGAAGAATAATAATAGTAAGTTCTCCCTTAGGGCTTATGACCTATCTAGTCTCAGGTTATTGCCCTTATCGCAGTGTCAGATAATGGGTTCCAACTCATAGAATGGTTCTTAAACTCAATTTCAAAAAAGAGGTTGGTTACTTTCATGGCATTTTTTCCACAATTGTACCAGAGGAGAGTATTTCTTGCTAGGCCGTCATTATTGTTTGAGGGCTCATAACTGGTGAGATTAATTACTTTTCTCCTCCAGTGGCCTGTATAGCACCTTCTAGCACTATGAACACTAGTAAGTAGGGGTGAAGCTTCCGGTTGGGTAGCAGCTAAATGTTTCCATGTTCTATGATGTAATAATGTGGTATCTTCAGCAATAGGGCCTTACCATCAAGCTGTTGATAGAAACCAACAGCATCGGCAATAGTCTGTATCATTTTGGATGTTTATGGGATCCCATTGACCAACAGTTCCAAAGATGTAACCTGTTCCTGATACTGAGGATTTTATTTGCAGTCATATAATATCTAGTCATGGTATCCCCTGAGATAACATGTTAGCTTCATTTAAACTCCTCATTTTATATATGTGTATATTTTAGGGAGATGATTTGAACCCCCCCAAAATGGTCTGGTTACTGCTAATGAAGAGGCAGGTGCCAGGATGCTTGCTTCCAGTCCCTTCTGTCTTCCTTTGAATACACACACAGAATGTTTAAGGCTGTTGGCTTCTGTAAAACCCAGAGCAGTGTTCAGGACCTGCCATCCCTCTCCCATGGACTCAGAGGTCCTGCTGGAGAGACTGACAGTGACCTGTGGGTGACAGGGAGACTCAGCAGTGAGACATACAAGTGAGGGTCCAGGCTGTTCAGAGTGGCTGTCACCTGGGAGGGGCCGTTTGTGTGGGAGTCACATTCAATCCTGCTCAGTGTCTACTCTGAAACCTTCAGAAAGGGAGTCCGGGTGGAACATGCTAGGCTCTCACAATGAGGTTTGCCTCCACTGGAGACCTTGAAACGAGGCTCAGCAAGCAAGGAGGGCTCACTGTTGAACATGTTTATTGCACAGCACAAGGATACATACTTCAGGGACTCTGTTATTTACAGCACACAACATCCATGCAGATGCCCACTGCCCAGCTTTCCTGCTGGCATGCTGGGGCGCCCCATGCAATCAGGGGCGACTCCCTGCAGCCCCATAGACTCTGTCACTGGGCTTAGGAGCCTCAGCCTTCACCAGCCACAGCCTGCAGGAGGAGGCAGAGCAGCAGGAAGGGAAGGCTCAGAGCACTGCTTGCACTTGACTCTCTGGCCCTTGAAGAGAGGAAGCCTTTTATGTCTGAAAAAGAACAGAGAATGCATTAAGTGCAGCTGCAGGCTTGGCTAAATGAACATAGATATGTCTGCACCCATTCTCACTAAAGCCCTCTTCTGCCTGGCTGTGAGCCAGCCCTTTTATGCTTCAGACCTGCCCCACCCCACATGTGTGTGTATATGTACTCTATTATGTGTATATACATATATCTATATCTATATAAATTTTAATATAGGGTCACAGTATTCAACCCTTAACTAGAGTGGAACTCACTAGCTAGACCAGGCTGGCTTGTGGCTCACAAAGTACTTCCTACCTCTCCCTCCTGAATGCTGGAAAAAAAAGTATGTATCACTATGTCCAGCCATCTTCATTCTTTTTCAGGACTGAGTGTCAGAGCTCTTGCCTAGCATGTGTTCAAAACAAACAAATGAATTATTTTCTCTGCATCCAGAGACACTGAATTTTTGTGGAACATTAAAAGCTGACAGGAAAAGAACCTCCATTGTTTTACAGGCGAACAAACAATCCTTTCTTTAGCCTAGCTCATTTACCTCATGAGCATCATGAGCACAAGAGGAAAGCCTATGAGAGAATTGTACGTGATTCAGCCAGGCAAACAGAACCGATTTAAGCAGCCTGCAGCTACCTAGTATACAGATGGCCCAGCTCTGCCCATATGAGCTCCTCGTGTCTTTGTCCATGTGCAGGTGTGTGTTCACGTGTGTGTACAAGGCATCTGCGTGTTTGTGGAGGCCAGAGATCAACCTTAGATGTCATTCCTTAGGCACCTTCCAGACTTTTTTTTTGAGAGAAAGTCTCTCATTTGAACCTGGGGCTCACAGATTAGGGAAAACTGGCTGGCCAGAGGACCCCAGGGTTTGTATCATAAAAACAAAACCAAAAAAAAAACTAAAACACACAAACAAATGAACAAGAAGTGTCGATTTTAGGTGTGGTGGTACACCTCTTTGATCCTAGCTATTAGGGTGCAAAGGCAGATGGGTTCCAGTCTAGCCAAAGATACAGTGATGCCCTACCCTGTATGTCTCAAATAAGATGGAAGATGGGGAGGAAGGACAAGGAGGAGAAGGAAGGGGAGAAGGAGGAAGAGGAGGATAGCGATGGATGAAAATTACATCTTGGCCACACACATGTAAATGCACAGGGCATCAGGTGAGGACAGGGTCAGTCTTACAGGGCCACCTTCTCTGAAGGAATGGAGGTCACAGGGGAAGATTCAGGGCCGTTAGGCTGTTGAACTACAAGTTCAAATACAGTTTCAGTAGGCTCTGTGAAATAAGCAACACGGAATCATAAACTGGACCTGGGACCACTGTGGCGTGTGGTTCCCAAGGAGATTCCTTGATATTAGAAAGAAAAACAATTAGAACACCACTATCCATTTAGATAAAAACAAAAAATGTTTCATTAATACTTTGTTTATTAAGAATCTACATTCCTGCATGGTGGCGCACACCTTTAATCCAAACACTTGGGAGGCAGAGGCAGGCAGATCTCTGTGAGTTCGAGACCAGCCTGGTCTACAAGAGCTAGGTCCAGGACAGCCTCCAAAGCCAAAGAGAAACCCTGTCTCAAAAACAAAAAAGTCTACATTTCTTATTCTGTGAACTCCCACTATTCTGAGTCACACTATGGAAGAAAAAAACTAGTGGATGGTTTATTACTGGAACCTAAGACCTTATTATATATTTATCAAAAGCTCTTGCAGATTTTGGGACATGCCAAGGACCTTTGTCATGCCCATTACTTTTGGCACATGTGAAAAAAGAAAGAAACCAAGTTTGACCACTTGCTACTGTCACCATGCCTTTAGTACTAAACAGACACCAGGGTCAAGGTTTTAGAGACTTCTGTAATGAGGAAAACATCACACTCATCTCAGTGTGAGAACCAGACGCTCTCCTGGAAGGCCCTCAGAGTCAGATGACTTCCCCTTCTGCCCCAGGAATCATGCCCACCAAGACAAAACCTCCCATAGAGCATTCTGGGGATGAGTGAACACAACACTGGGCGCACACTCACAAGCTCAGAGTTTGGAAGCCGGTGCCCCAGGCCCAGAGGCTGGGTCTACACACAGGTGTTTATATTTGTTAGCTGGTTTGGGTTTTGTCATTGCCAGATGTGCTGTTTAAAGGGAAAAAATGAGGGCTGCAAAGTGCTCAGTGGTCAGGAGTGCTTGCTGCTCTCGCAGAGGATCAGAGTTCAGTTCCCAGCACCCCTGTCTGGTGCCTGACAATGCCTGTAGCTCCAGTTTCCAAGCTCTCTTCCAGCCTTCATGGACACAGCACACATGTACACATAAATAAGAAATAAATGACTGTAAAGAGAAAACAAACTGTAGCACCTTGGCCTGGGTCCATCTCATGTTCAGATTACTTTATTTCATGTTTGTTATAGAGATTAAACCCAGGGTCTAGACCATTCTAAATACAAATGGTATCACTGTCCTACACAATGGTCAACTGACATTTTCCCCCTTGTTCTTCTGGAGATGGAGCTCAGGCCTGGCACATGCTAGCCAAGGGTCTAGGGATGAGTGCCACCTTCATTAGTGCTCAGGACACTGATTCTTCTTCCTTGGGGGCTGCTCCAATGGGAACAGCTGCACTCGCTCTAATCTGAGCTAGCTGGGAGCTTTGCATTCTTTCACTAGGAGGACCCAGTCAGAGCAAGGAGGCTCTTGGAGATCTTTCAACCCGAGGGCTGCTGGGGGCAAGACATAACTTTGCAGGATGGTATCTGTTTGTGATCCTTCCCACACATAGATACAGTTTCAAAGTATTTTAATGATCTCAAGTGTTTTTTTGGTTTTTTTTTTCTGTTTTGCTTTCCAAAACCTTTACCACATCTCATGAAGGGATCTCAATTTTTTTTTCCTCCTGTTTCTTTGGAGCTGAATTTCAAACGGCTACTGTTCAGCATTCTAAATCACGCCATCACACATGAAGGCGTTCTTTTCACGTTCGGAGTTATTCTCACCGTAAAAGGCACATGGGTGACTCTGCTAGCTCTCCCTGGGTTTCATTCTCCTCAAATAGAGGATTGTGAAGGATGCCTACTCCATAAACTGTGGTGGAATCCAATGAGCCACGTGGCCGGAGCACATTGAGAATACAGTGGGCACAGCCATAGGGGTGGCTCTCCTTAAACCCGGTGACCGTCAGTCAGCTAGAGAGCTTGACCAAGGGACTCCCTGTTTCATCATTCACCATTTACAATGGACCCTGCAGCAGGATCAGTGGATCAAGGACAGTCACCCTGGGGGAGGACCTTGCTACTTTATCCAACTTTGATGAGTAGAAGCATTTTCAGAAGCCCATGTCATTGACCAGGCAGATAGACAGAAGTCTCGGCCCTGAATGTTTCCAAGGATGAAACAGTGATTGACTATCCTGACACTGAGATGCTGCCCTGCAGACCTTGCTTAGGGATTGCTTAGCACCCCCAGAGAACCCCCTTCCCTACATTCCCTGGGAAGAACTGCTGGTAAGAACTGACCTCACCTATGAGATCACTAGATTTACCTTGCAAATTTACCCTGATTCCCAAAATTCATGTCCAATAACCTCTGGTGAATCAAGAGATGTAAGCCCAACCAATGGAGAGGCTTGGGAGAGAAGGGGCATAGGGGATGCTCAGTAAAGCAGAGGGCAGGCACTAGGAGTGTTGGTGGCCAGGCCTGGAGACTCTCCTGGCACTTCACAGGAAGGGGGAAGGGGACTCAGGAGTTAAAACAATCACTAATGGTCTAACCCAATGCCATGGCCAGAGGGTAGGGCCCAGCATTGTGGCTGAGGACCTTCCCCTGCTCTGGCGCTGCCCTTCCTGAACTTCCTGAGGCAGGAGTAGAGGACAAACTGGTCAGTACCACATCCGCTGGAGGGGTTCAGGGCTGCCTGAGGAAGGGCAGAAACATGGCTCAGGGGTTTATCTCATGCAGTGTTCCTTCGACACAGTGAAGCCAAACCACCCAGGAGTGACCAGGCAAGGGGAGTGGGGGACTCGGCTGACTTGTCTACCATTGGGCTTCCAAGCCAGCTCCTGTTAAAGGAAGGAAGGCTAGGGCAGAAGACATCAGGTTGCAGTGTGGCAACCCCTCCCTTTATGCTCAGAGCGGTTCTTACTTCCCCAGTGTTTGGGCACCATTGGTGATGCTGAACTAGCTCAGCTCCCAGGTTAACTCTTGAAGCTCCTGGAAGGAACCCCAGTGCTCTGAGACACCGCTCGCAAATCACCGCAGACCCAGCCATCCCCACAAGGAAAACGTAAATAACGATAATAAATTCACGGCAGATTCACAATGATTGGAACTCTGTTGAGCGACACACGGATCTAATGCGCTCATTACTAAATCTTGTGCGCAAGCAGATGCTCTATGGGCCGGTGCGCCACCCACTAACAGCAAAGACGTGTGCTTGTCGAGGGATAGGGTGCTCTTACCACAGTGACCGAACGCTTGGCGTGGGAGGCAGTACAGGGCTGAGAAGATGCACCTGCATAGGCGGCAGCTGTGCAGGGTCCAGGCTCCATGCCCCAGGGCGCCACAGTCTCTGCAGAGGCCAGGACAGGTCAACTTCGTGTCAGTGTACCCCCCTTCTCTCCCGGGCCAGCCGCCTCCCAGCCCACTTGTGCTCCACCCACCTGTGCCTCTGGTCATGCTCGCAGTAGCGGCCGGTGAAGTGCGCAGGGCACACGCAGAAGCTGCCCAGAACGCAGGTGCCTCCGTTGTGGCAGCAGCGGGATCCAGGGACCACACCTGCAGGATGACCTGGGTCAGCGGCGGTAGTGGCCTCTGGAGCTCCCCTTGTCCCCTCCCGCAGAGGGCAGGGCGCCACAGGCTGGGAGGGGTCCGTGCCTGCTGAGTGTGTTTGCTAGGTAAACCTCACTCTTTAGTTGAAGGCTGAAAAACAAGCTAGCAGGAATGTGGGCGGGGCCTGCACAGCCCTTGACACCCTCCAGGTTACTGCTTCTCCCTCCCTTCCACTGCTAAAGTTAGCCTGGGACTTTGTGGACAGTGATTAACCACAGGCCTCCCAGGCAGGACCACCCATGGGTGTGATGCCGCTAACGCCACCTGGAGCCCCTAGGCACCCTGGAGTTGCCTGAAGGTTTAGGGACGAGCCTGTTACCTTGGCGACAGAGGAAAGCTGATAGCTTTGCCAAGGAAACCGCAAGACGTCGGAGTAAACGCGTCATTAAAATTAAATTTTCTTTATTTTATTTTTTTTAACTTGAAGGTGAAAAGATGCTCTGGTTTATCCCACTTTCCCCCTCCCCCCCACCCCACCCCCGGTACTCAGTATCCACTACACCGGACCGAACACAGTTAAGACTTACTTTCTCCAAAAGTCCCGGAGTAGGGAGAGGAATCCCTTGGGCGCCACCCCTCCTGGCTGCCATTCTCTCTACTGGAATTACTCAATGTCCCATCCAGTGTCGTCCCTGGGGGCTTTGGAGACAGGATTTTGGTGACTTCTCTGGCACCGTCTGATTCCCTCTGATAGCCTTTGAAGAACAACAAAGTAAGCGACTGAATAACCAAGACGCGGGGATTTTAGGACTTAGCACTGAAACTCAGAAAAAAAAATTACTTACTATTTACCAGATGGACAAGCTGCAACGCTACAGTCATGAAGAACAGAGGTCTGGAATATTTAAAGGAAATTGTTGAAGTTTCAAGTATACAGTCAATAAAAGCACAATTCATGTGTCAGTCATGATATAAAAAAATTACAAGCATTATAAACATTGTCACACTTGTAGATTTTGAAGATGTACTTACAGTTTAGAAAAATTTTGAGATGAAAAATGCCTGAGAATTTTAACCCCCTAGCCTGGCTTTCTAGTACCTGTGTGACTTGTGTCCTTACCTGGCTTGGTACCTTTTCAAAACGACGACGCCTAGGGTTGGGGAGTCCCCTCTCATCTGTGCTTGGGGATCAATAACCACAGCAGTTGAAATTCAATGTCCTAGTACAGGAGGAGTCCTTCCTCCAGGTCTTGGAATCACTATAGCAGGTCACAGAAGGCACAAGGTTGCAAGATAGGGATGTCGCCTGCCTTCTGCCTGGACCAGAAGACAACAGGGCTGAAGGAAGTTCTGCAAAGGCAAATGCAGAAGCCCTCGGGCTAGGACTGCTGTGCCATCCAGGCTTGAAGGGCTGTTCCTTAGAGAGAGTCCCTCAGAAGCGGGGGTGGGGCGAGGCTTCGCCACCCCCATGCTATTTACAGTGATGACAACAGCAGGGTGGCCAGTCCCCAATGTAAACCACTGGAGACAGAGACAACAGGCCTCCTTAACCTCCCTAGAAAACAAACAAGAAATTGAAAAGGTTGAGATCCCAGCATGAATCAAAGAGCTTTCTGGAAGATAGAACATGGAGACTATTGGGCAGTCCTTGTACTGGACTCAGCTGGAGTGGGGAGCTGGTCAGAGGGACACAGCTGCTGAGTGCTCCCACATGCCCTATGTGCTGAACAGGAGGGCAAAGGGGAGCACTGCAGGCTCTGTTTCCTGGTTGGGGGGGACTTATTTGCTTCCACACATGGAGCCTCTGCTCTCTGTTGTGCAGGCAGCACTCTATGGGGGAGACAATGTCCCTCCCTGATGTCACAGGTGAGGAAGCTGAACCCTGAGTGGATAAACCCTTTGACTAGTAGATCACTGAGAAAAAGAATATGCAGACATCATGATGAGCCCACGGCCCATCTGTGCAGAGATGCTGCAGGCTGCAGCCTGAATCACTGGAGTGGGTGACCTGGGGCTTCTTTTCCTCAGGTTTTCTAGCTGCTAAGATGGGACCTTAGCCCTATCGTTATCATTAAAGAGGACACTTTGTAATAGGTGTGGTAAATTCTTCTGTGACTTTAAAGTAGAAACTCACTTCTTAAAAATATTGTGTCCTCCACAGTTGCAATAGTGATTGCCACTGGCTTCATTCATTTTTTCCTTTAAATCTGAGCTTCATGAAGAGGCTGCTAATCCAGGAAGGAACTGGTGAGTTTTCCCAGACTGTGAACTCCCAGGGAAGGGCTCTGAGAGCTTCCAGGGTCAGACAGGGACTGGCAAACACTGTGGGGAAAACCCACAGGGAGGATGTGGCCTCAGGACTTAGGGAGACCCAAAAACTCACTTTTGAATGTAATGCTTGTTACTGGTAAATTGTTCAGTTCAATCACATGTACAAAACAAATACATTTTGTAACTTTAAACCAATACAAACTTTCCCGTGAGCTAAACAGTTGTATATTGTAAAAGTGTAGAGCCAGAGAAATGATTGAGTGGTAAAGAGCACTGTTGCCCTTGCAACAGCCCCAAATGGCAGTTCACAGCCGTCCATAACTCCAGTTCCAGGGAATCCAAAGGCACATATGTACTGCACAGACATATGGGCGAGCAAAATATTTGTACACACAAAATAAAATAAGTTAAAAAAAAAGTCATCCTTAAGCTAAAGGAGTGAGTGCATTTCTTTGCATAAACCAGCTTTTAAATGGCCATTGTACAGAATGCCACAGGGACTTCTTTTTTCTTTGAGAACTGTTTTATGTTTGGTTGGTTTTTGTTAGTATGTTTATTTGTATTTTTTAATTTTTATTATTTCTTTTTTATCATTTATATTTATTTTATTTATTTTTAAATATTTTCCTTTTAATCTAAATTAGAAACAAGCTTGTTTTACATGTCAATCCCAGTTCCCTCTTCCTCCCCTACTCCCCAGCCCCCCATCAACTCCTTATCCCATCCCCTTTCTGCTCCCCAGGGACAGTGAGGTCTTCCATGGAGGATCTTCAAAGTCTGTCATATCATTTGGAGCAGGGTCTAGACCCTCCTCCATGTGTCTAGGTGGAGAGACTGTCTCTCCATGTGGAGTGAGGCCCCGATGTCCATTCATGCACTAGGGAAAAATACTGATCCACTACCAGAGGCCCCATAGATTGCCCCAGCCTCCTGACATCCACGTCCAGGAGATCTGGAACAGTCCTATACTGGTTTCCCAGCTATCAGTCTGGGGTTCATGAGCTCCCCCTTGTTCAGGTCAGCTGTTTCTCTGGGTCTCTCCAGTCTGGTCTTGACCCCTTTGCTCATCATTCCTCCCCCTCTGCAACGCAACTGGATTCCGGGAGTTCAGTTCAGTGTTTAGCTGTGTGTGTCTGCTTCTGCTTCCATCAGCTAATGGATGAAGGCTCTAGGATGACATATAAGGATAATACTCAAGTTTAAAGGCACTATCTCAGATCTAGTATCTCTTCCACACAATTTCAATGCATACATGAGAGCTGGGAAACTGACCCAGTAAATTCAGACTCCCTGTGTCAGTGTGAACCTGGCCAATCTATTTCCTCCTGGGCTTAGTTTTCTGGCAGTTACAAAAAGCAGTTGCCAGACACAAGTCTGTCTTGCTGTTGTTTACCTGTGGTTGTTTCCTTGCTAGGCAGGAACTGACCCTCCTGAGGCACATGTCCAGCTGCTCAAACCAGGTTAGGGAAATCTGCACTTATGGATGGAAACTGGATGAAGGGAAGGGCAATGCCTTGCCTGCCAGACAGGAGTGAGAGACAGAGCAGCATGGCTGCCCCCCTCCAGTGTTTGCTGAGGCTCCAGGGGCCTGAGGGGCATCAGAGGGGAGGCCCTGGGTGACAGGACTGGTGATAAACTTTCTCACTCTACTGTCACTTGCTCTGCAGCAGGCCTTTGTGGTCCAGGCTGAGCCATTTAGTCCCCATCAAAGGAGTTTGGCATGTCACTGCAGACAGAGCTGCTGAATGTCTGCCACCAAGGAGAGCCAGCAGGCAGAACTGCCTGGAATGGCTGACTGGGAGAAGGGGAGAGGACTTGTGTCTGGTTATCAGTTGTAAAGAGATAAGATGGAGCCACCAATCCCACCTCCTGGGGAGGGGGGCATCCTAACTCACAGGGGGTGTGGGAATGGGGACCTGCCTGGCCCAGGACAGGATTGCATGCTGTCCCCTGTCCTCCTCTCATCACCTAAAAGTATCCCTGAGGAAATGACCTGACAGAGAATAGGTGTGAAGGATTCTCTGTGCTTAGCGCTCCTTAGGGTCTGAGGGCACATCCAAACCCCCCTAAATTAGGGGAGGAAAACCCTTCAGGGACTTCAAAAACCCACCTCTCAAGCGGACTCTGGATTGTTGTCTTCCTGAAACCCCCTATCTGATTTGAGCAGGATCTTTCTTGGTGTATGCTGTATGTGCATGTTTCCTCACCCTAATAAATACCTTTCTTCAAGTGCCCATTCTGTCTGCTGTTAGATTTCTCCACTGCTGCTTGTGAAGTTCAAGATTTTCCCTGACTTTTAATTCTTTAGCGGGCAGAGAAAATGAACCCCATCAAGACCCCTAGATATTAACACTGGGGTCATACGGTTTCACATTTCAAATTTCCTTTTTAGTGCTGGAGATCAAACTCCCAGCACATAAATGTTAAACCCATCCTGTTCACTGAAATAACAGCCCATTTTGTAAATGAGAGTTGCCAGGAAGGAAAGGGGGGCCTTCAGAACCCAGGCAGCGAGGCCAGAGCTCACAGGGGCCATCAGACTCCCAACAGCAGGGCAAAGTCAAGAAGGTGCCACTGAAACCCCCCAAGAAATCCTAGAGGAATTATCAGAACCCTGACAGTAGGGCAAAGCCCGAGGGCCACTAGACTCCAACAGGAAGAAATGTAAGGTTGGTAAGAGAAAAAAGAGAATGCCCCCACACACACACACAACGAGACAGCTCTGAGTGCGCAGCTCTGAACCTGCAGAGGGTAAATAGAAGACTTGATGGCCAAATAGACTAAAGGAGAGAGTGTCTGCAAGACTTCTTTTTTTTTCTTTTTACATTTTAGAAGGGCTTGTGGAGAAGTCATCAGAGAATAAAAGTATGTTTTTAATAGGGTTGTCAGTCTTAGGGCCATTAACAGACTTTAACCTAAACAAAACTTTAAATGAACCCCAATCCTGCCAAAAACATACAAACTCAGTAGAAATCATAAATGATTTGTTGTTATTTGGAGTTTTTGAGACAGGGTTTCTCTGTGTAGCCCTGGCTGCTACAGACCTCTTCATGACCAGGCTGGTCTTGAACATCGGAGATCCATCATTCTTTACCTCCTGAATGCTGGGATTAAGGACACATAAGTTAATTTCTTTCTTCTTTATTTTTCTTCTTTTTTTGAGACAGCCTAGGCTGTCCTGAAATTCACTCTATAGACTAGACTGGCCTTGAACTCAGAGGTCCACCTGCTCATGCTTGTCAAGTGCCAGGGCATAAATTATTTTCTTAATATAAATTGAAATCTTGTTTTCTAAAGTAATAACTTTTCAAATTTTATTACATGTGGATCAACATTCTTAGCAGGTCCAATTACTTTAACTATAAAGCATTAAGAGAACTCTTATAAACATCATTTTGTTTATGGCCAACCTAATTACATATACTTTCCTATAAGCTTTATTTTTATAGGCCTCGGATAAATTATATTTATATCTCAGACAGATGGTGGTTGTCGTTTATAGACATTGTGTATTTATTAAAGATATCCGAAAACCACAACACTAAGCACAGTTCCTAATGTAATTTTATCATGTTAAATACACCAGTGACTTATTTTATATAACATTATATTTCTATGCCGTTAGAACATTTTTCCAGGTGTGGTGGTACACCGTGCCCTCAGGAAGCAGAAATAGGAGAATCACTCATGAGTTCAAGGCTAGCCTGTTTACCTGGCTAGTTTTAGGCTGTACAGATCTGCATAGTAAGACTGTTTCAAATAAATAAATACAAAAACATCTCTGTTTAAATTTTATTTATTTATTTATTGTTGTTCAGCATTTTCCTCTGAGCTAAAAAATCATTACATCTCAGAAGCAAGCTGAAAGGTTCAGGCATTACGCTGCCCTGCCCTGTTACCTGGCAGGATGTACTCAGGCA